CATTTACTGCTCATTGGCATGATATACCAAGTTTATGCATTTAATGCTTTCTGGCATGATATGAAGATTTATGCATTGACTGCTCATTGGCCCGAGATGCAAGGTTTATGCATTTTCTGCCCACTGGATTAATATACCAAGTTTATGATTTTACTGTTCATTGGCATTATATAATAAGTTTATGGATTTAAAGCTTTTTGGCATGATATATCAAGTTTATGCATCTAATGCATTAATAGCATTCTCTTGCTGGAAAATCCTTCAGAACCCATATTTCACTAAATGATTGCCTGGTTAGGGAGATCTCCCTTGTTGATTAGTGATGCCCAAGCATCAAGTGGGTATGACAGTTGCTCCCCAGGCTGTTTTCTTTTTACATCACGTGCCCACGTGCAGAGCACTTTCATTCTTTCTATTCAATTATCTCGTGTGTCTCTCAACACATCTATTTTGTTTGTGTACTTGTGTCTATCACTGATGCTAATGGGTGGGTTAGTAAAATTGCACTATGGGCCACTAAATATTTTTGACCCCTAGACCACAAGTTTCCAACCCTCCCCTGCTCTTCAGCAAGTAAACGATAGCGGTACTACCTCTTTTAATATACAACATATTGAACCCATGTAATTTCAATGAGACAATACTTTTTCACCAAACAGTGAATTAAATACCAGACTGGAAAATAAAGGCTAAAAGACCTGCAAATATACCTATGATTGACTGGGGGTGTCTGCTTAAAAAACGTTCCTAGAGTGAATGACAGTCAGAGGAAAGAAGAGAGAAGGCAGAGCTCTCAGGCAGGGCCGCAATCAGGGCACGACAACCATTACGGTTGTCATGGGCCCTGGCGGTCCTGGGGGGCCCGGACTACTCTGGCAGTCCGAGCCCCACATTCCTTATGTGCACATATATATAGCGATTTTTGCTATATATCTGTGCACTGCAGGCCCCTGCTACCTGTACATTGCAGAGGGGGCCCAGCAGCACACTCTGTCTTTCCTTTCCAGTTCCTCTCTGTAACTTTCCGGAGCACTGCGCCTGCCAGAGCGCTGCCATGGGTTACCATGGCAACGCTCCGCACAGCACGCAGGCCGGTCTCGCGAGAGTTTGTCAGAGAGGAGCTGGAAAGGAAGACAGAGTGTGCTGCTGCCTGGCCCCCATCTGGAATACCGTACCGTGGCTGGCTCCTTCCACAATGCGATATCCCCCCTCCCTGGCACGGTAAGAAGCAGGGAGGGGGAATAAAATCTAAATACACACAAATATTTTTTTATTTTTTTTTAAATACTTCCCTTCCCCCTATTTTACACACACACTGCATCCTTAGAAGCACTCACTTTGCATTACTCACACACACACTACATTCACTAAACACACTCTGCATTACACACACACACACTACATTCACTAAACACACTCTGCATTACACACACTACATTCACTAAACACAATCTGCATTACACACACACACTACATTCACTAAACACACTCTGCATTACATACACTACATTCACTAAACACACTGCATTACACACACACACACTACATTTACTAAACACACTCTGCATTACACACACACACACACACACTACAGTCACTAAACACACTCTGCATTACACACACACCCTACATTCACTAAACACAATCTGTATTACACACACACTACATTCACTAAACACAATCTGCATTACACACACACACTACATTCACTAAACACAATCTGCATTACACACACACTACATTCACTAAACACAATCTGCATTACACACTCACACCACATTCACTAAACACAATCTGCATTACACACTCACACTATATTCACTAAACACAATCTGCATTACACACACACACTACATTCACTAAACACACTCTGCACTACACACACACTACATTTACTAAACACAATCTGTACTACACACATATTACATTCACTAAACACACACTACATTCACTAAACACAATCTGCACTACACACACACACTACATTCACTAAACACACACTACATTCACTAAACACACTCTACACACACACACACACACTACATTCACTATACACATGTTGCACTCACTACAAACACACTACATTTACTAAACACACTTTGCACTCACTACAAAGACTGCATTCACTATACACACACTCTGCATTCACCACAATCACACTACATACACTATACACATTTTGCATTCACTACAATCACACTACATGAACTATACACACTTTGCACTCGCTACAAAATCACTACATTCACACTATATGCACTATAAACACTTTGCACTCACTACAAACACACTACATTCATTACAAACACACTACATGCACTATACACACTACAAATTCACTGTACACACACTACATCCACTACAAAAACACACACTCTGCATTCACTATACACACCTACATTCACTACACACACACACTTCATCTAATACATGCATACAAACATTACATACATTACACAAAATGTACAATCTGCATCCACTATACACACTGCATCCATGAAACACATTCTACATCCACTACACACATTCTACATCCACTACACACACTGCATCCATGACACACATTCTACATCCACTATACACACACACACACACTTCATCCTTGTGGGCGGACTCGGGGCTGGCCCTGGGGGCCCAGATCTTGAGCTGTGTCAGGGGCTATAAAATTTCTGATGGCAGCCCTGCTCTCAGGTATGTGTTGACCAAGTTCTGGGTTAAACTGTTCGAAAATGGTTTAACCCTTGAATTTAAGATGGCTGTTAAAAGTTTATAGTTTAAAAATACTGAATGGTGTATAGAACGCAGTCAGGTATTATGAGTTAAATAGTGTTTTGCCTGTTTTGGGTCAGAGTAACCTTTGCTGTGCTGGTCCACAGTTCCATTTAAAAAAAAAAAAAAGAAATGAAATAAAAGCTAAAACTTACCTCTTACCACATATTAAGGCCAAGTTCCCTCTCCAGCCCGATTCTCCACCGAAGACATAACACCTCCTCCCAGGATGTCATGGAGGACGGACTAAGGAGAGCACATGGGTGGCATGGGTGTGGGTTGGATGCAGCCATTGGATGCCTGTCACCAGCATGCACAAAACTACCATTAGCCAGCTGGTAACAACTCTTGACGCCGCAGTGACGCTCCCCGAGGCAGCAATGGGGTTAAATGCTGTATTTCCTGTAAATGACTGATGAGTTTAAATCACTTTTGGTAGAGTTTTATTGAATACTCTAAATATTATATGTCTATGAATATATTTCATCTCAATTTTGCTCCACACTTTTTTTGTCGGAACAACAGCACCATCACAGTCACAATAATCAGTTTATCAAATGGCTCTGATTACACGTCACCTTGCAGACTAGCAACCTGTGCTTTCAAATAAAGCCGTAAAATGAGCATCTCTACATAAACACACTTTATTTAGACAAATTAAAGTAAACAGCTGGCAGGAACAGCTCCGTCTCCCGCCAATCAGGATTCTGTAGGACAGAACATAGTTGTTCACTGCAGTATTGCAATAAAATGAGAAGAGTTTAAAACTAGCAGATGGTGCTCTGTGCAGTGCATGGAATAAAATGGAGAATTAAGGTGCCCTAAGGTGGGCATGGAAAAGGCAATTACATGAAACAAATGGGCCCGAGGCCTGGATCACACTCTAGTATGCTACACAAGAGACAGATAGTACATCTGGTGAACAGACTTTATCACACACTAGAAAGCTATAAAATATACCATCCAAGTTCAGACCTTGGTCTTACAATGACATTTTACCTGTGCTGGCATTCACCGTGGTTTAGTTTAAAAACTGCCTTAATCTACAAATTGTGATTTAAACCACGTTTTAGCATAGCACTCTAACGAGGCCCACTTTTTAGACAGGTTGATAAAATGCAGAGATATCCCTGGAGATAATATGAAGTAGAACCAAGGAGGAAGATCTCTTTTTGCTTAATATATCATTTCGGAAAAACATGGCCGCTGTGATAAAATTATGCACCCTGCTTGTTTGTGTTAGAAATGTAAACTGACACCGATTGCTGCACGTCTCACGTGTACATAGCATTGTACACATAAATGAATATGTTCCAGGTTGTATGTAGAGGCGCAATTAACTAAAATCATTTCACAGCCGTCAGAAGCCGCAGTGTACATGCCCTGTGGGGAGATCTGCACTGTTTTCAAAAGACTGCAGTTGTTGCGAAGATACCATTTTGTCGACCAATTACAATGTATTTGTTTGCTTTTTGCATTATGTAAAACGGTGATATAATTAGCATCTATGAACATTATTACCCAAATCAAAGAAAAAAAAAGATCTTAAGAGAAAATTATTATTATTGACTGTAGTGAACTGAAAACTATATATTTTCAAAATGTATGCAAAAAGTTATAATTTGAAAAAAAAAAAAGCCAAATCTTGGCTATTTATCTTGAATTTTGCAATTCTGTTTTCTCCCACCCATCCCCCCGCCAACAATTTTTCACATTTCTGAAAATGTATTTTTAACTCCACCTTTTCATAGATTTAATGTGAGCAAGTACTGATCTTGTTCATTTCCCAATATGAATTTTTCTTCAGGGTTATCCAACGTCCGTCATTCTGAAATGCAGTATCCCAGTACTTTATCGCGTTCCAGCATTTTATTTTATTTTTTTCAATTTGACAGTTTTTATTTTCCAAACGTGAATGCAAAAAATGGGGGGGGGGAGGTGGTACAGAAATAAAAAAAAGGGGGGGGGGTTACAGACATAGGTATAATGCAAATTGCACTGTGTCATAGAGTTTTGCTTCACAGAGTTTTGCAGTATATACAGCATTGAAAGGGTATCGTAGCATAACCTGAGGCTGGTATCAGGTGTGTTGTCTATCCAATACCACTGGTATGGTTCTGTTTGTCATATGTTGGGATGAGGATCGTAGAGGGGTATGAGCCTGTTGGTTGGGGGGAGGGTGAGGGGGAGATGGGAGGGGGAAGGTTGCTCCAGTAGATGTCAGGCCAAGGTCAGTGGGGTCCATCAGAATCGCACCTCGGGTTCATCCCCGTATTGCCCGTTTCTGTCTCGTGTCTCTTAGCTATCGACTTTATATCTGTGTCTCTGTATGTGCGTGTGTATTCTCCTCTGTCTTCTAGTCTGTGGCTCTTTTGGTCCAATTCTCCCAAACCTCCCGTTTCCAGGGTTGGCGTTTTGTTATAGAGTCGGTGTGCATTTCGTAGCTCTCCACTGTTGAGACATACTTAGTCAGTTCTTGCATAGTCGCTGTGGATGTGGAAAGCCAATTTCTGTCAATGTGTGTCAAGGCTGCGATTTGGATGTGGTATATCAAGTATTTATCGGCTGGGGGGTATTGGTCTTTGTATATAAACAGTAAGAGGGAGGCTGGGGAGTTGGGGACTGCAATGTTTGTATGTGAGTGAATGAGGGAAAGAACCTCTTTCCAGTAGCTCTGTATGATGTCGCAAGCCCCACCAGATGTGTAGGAATGTGCCTGTGTCTCTATGGCATCGCCAACAGGTGTTTGGTTGTGATGGCAGTATCTCAGCCAGGCGTGTGGGAACCATGTACCACCTGTAGGCAATTTTGCGCATGAGTTCCATGTGAGCTGTGCAGGCTGACCTGCCTTTGTAACTGTTGATGGCTTTGAGCCAGGTGTTTTCGGGTATTTGACAGCCTATGTCTGTTTCCCATGCTTTGGCCCATGGGAGATGGCAGAGTTCTGTGTTAGTGTTCAGGAGTGTGTAGATGGCGGAAATGGGCCCCTTGGCAGGTGCTCCTGCAATTAAGCGTTTCTCAAAGTGTGTAAGGAAGTGTGTTTGGGGGTCTGGTGCTGGGTTCTTCATATGCATGAGCCACCAGGACCTCAGTTGTCTATAGTAGAAGTGCGCTATGCTTGGGATAGTGTATCTGGTGCTAAGGTCGTGAAATGGCAGCAGTGTTTCCTTGTTTTGCAAGTCGTGCAGGTGTGTAATTCCACATCTGTTCCATATCTTAAAATTGAACTCAGGAATCAGCTCCGCCAGCGATCTGAGGGACATGGCCATTGAAATAGGGCGGCAACTGCACAAACGCGCGCGGGAGGTGTCCCATATTTTCAGGGTTGCGGTTGTGGCCGGGAGCGCTTGCGCCAAGTTTGGCCTTTGGGGGGGGGGTTAGCCACATCAGGGTGGATATGTTGAGCCGGTTTGTCCAAAAGCTCTCGATAGATACCCACTGTGGTGCGTCTATGTGATGGTGGGCTGCCACTAGACTGGTCAGGATTGATGCTCTGTAGAATCCCTCGAGGTTAGGTAGGCCCATGCCCCCTGCCTGTGTGGTCCTATAGAGGGTTTTTGTGCCTATTCTGGGCTTTTTGCCGTTCCATATGAACATATTAATCTGTTTTTGCAGCGCTTGGAAGTAACGTGTTGGGGCTATCAGTGGGACTGTCCTAAATAGGTATTGCAGCTTAGGCAGTAATACCATTTTTACAGCAGCAATGTGTCCTGACCAGGAAATGTATTTATTTCTCCATTGTTGGAGGCTTTCTATTATTTCTTTGCTCAGTTTGACATAGTTGAGATCGTAAAGTTTTGGGAGATTATGCAGAAGTCTGACACCTAAAAAGGTGAGGTAGTCTGTTCTCCAGTCATATGTAAATTATTTCTCAAGGTCTGACCTGTAGGTGCTCTCCATCCTCACCCCCATGGCTTGTGTTTTTGTGGGATTAAGCTTATAATACGAACACCTGCTGTATGAATGCAGTATGTCGTGAAATGCTGGTAGCGACGTCTTGGGATCTGTGATGGTGAGGAGTATATCATCCGCGTAAAGGTTTAATTTCATTTCCCTGCCGTCTATGCACACCCCATGTATACGATTGTCATCCCTGATCAGTGCCGTCAGCGGCTCCAGTGCCAGGATATACAATATGGGTGACAGGGGCACCCCTGCCTGGTCCCATTTGTTATACAAAAGGGGGTTGATCTAAACCCAGCGTTGAATACTCTAGCCATGGGCTTATTGTAGAGTGCCTTAATCACCGCCAGGAACTGAGGGGGAAATTACATTTTTCGAGGACCGCCTGGAAGAATGACCAGTTCAGGCGGTCAAAAGCCTTTTCAGCGTCTAATGAGAGAAGTATGCTGTTGGTTGACGATCGGTTCATGCCTTGTAAAAGGGCGAGCGCTTTGCGTGTCCAGTCTGTCTCCCACTAATGAAACCTACTTGGTTGGAGTGGATCAAGGCGGGGAGGATACCTTTCAACCTAAACTTTCGCCATTATTTTAATGTCAGTATTCAGCAGGGAGATGGGTCGGAAGTTGGCGCATTTCGTGAGGGGCTTGCCTGGTTTGGGAAGCGTGGCTACGTTAGCCTCCGGCATCTCCTGTGGAAGTTTACTCTCAGTAGTTGCTGTTGCAAATAGTTTTGCCATCTGGGGGGAGAGGATGGAGGCAAACTTTTTGTAATACAAGTTGGGGAAGCCGTCAGGGCCTGGTGATTTGTGAGGAGGCAATGTCGCTATCACTCATTCTATCTCTTGTGGCGTAACTGTGTCCGTCAATAGGCGGATTTGGTTGTCTGTCAGTCTGGGGAGAGTTACTTGGTCTAGGAATTGGGAAATGTCTGTCGGTGTGGGCTGGTGCGTCGTCGCATCTTCTCGTAGGTTATATAGTTTGCTATAAAAATTCGCGAAGGCATTGCAAATATCTTGGGGTTTGATAACTTTTTTGCCCTCATCAGTCAGTATGTATCCTATTTTTGTCTGAGCGCTAGCTGTGCGCAATCTATTGGCGAGTAAGGTCGCTCGCTTTATCACCCATGACGTACTGTTTTGCTTTTAGCGTATGAAGAGTGCGTGCCGCTCGTGCTATGTAGATATCGTTAAGTTGTTTCTGGGTTTGCTCAATTTGGGACCCTCTAGTAGCGGTCGGGCATAAGAATTGTTGGGCGGTAAGGTCTCGGAGAGTGCGGAGGAGGGAGATGAGGTTTGTTTGGGTCTGTTTCTTGATGTGGGAGGCTCTGCGTATGAAGATCCCTTGCATGACAGCTTTGTGTGCTATCCACGTGTAGGAAGTGTGTGTTTCGGGAATATCGTTGGTGGCAAAATATTGTGAGAGTTCCCTTTCAGTTTCTTGTCTGAAGGATTTGTCTGATAACAACCCTGTGTTGAGTCTCCATGGGTTACATCCACGGAAGTGGAAGTCGTCATGTAGGGATAAGGTGACCGGGCTATTGTCAGACCAAACTATGTCTCCCATGTCACATCCCTGGATCAGGTTGAGGGAGGAGCTCTGAACCAGTATCACATCTATCCTGGAGTAGGACCTGTGGGCTTTGGAGTAGTATGAGTAGCTCCTGTCAGAGGGGTGTAAAGTGCGCCAGCTGTCATAAAAGTTGAATTGTAGCAGCAGTTTCGTCAGGGCTTTGCAGTGGGGTGTTAGCGCCCTTTGTCTTGTGGAGTGGGTCTGCGTGGATGAGTCTAGTCTGGGGTCAAGGTCATGGTTGATGTCACCAAAATTACGGTCAATCCTTTCTGTATCGTGGTCACCTTAGTCAGTACTTTGTGCAAAAAGTTACGTTGGTGCTCATTCGGAGCGTACATGTTAACCAGAGTATACATTACATCATTCAACATACATACTAAAATGAGGTATCTGCCCTGTGTATCAGATATTTCCTGTAGTAGCTCAAAGGCCACTGACTTGTGGATGTATATGGATACTCCCATGGACTTAGTGGCAAAGGTGGAGTGGTATTGGTTGGGGAAGTGTTTTACGCCAAATGTGGGTATGCAGGCGACAGGGAAATGTGTCTCTTGGAGACATAATATATCTGCGGTATGCTTTTTGTCTTTGTTCAGAAGCATGTGCCGTTTGTGGGGCATGTTAAGCCCATGCACATTGTGGGAGTAGATCTTCAGGGTGGTATATGGGGTTGGCGCTTATTCTGCAGAGAAGACACAATAGGTCCGTATGTGACTGGCCCTGGGTATCATGACGCTTAATGTCATGAGACTTTGGGTGGGTTGGATTACCACCTGAAACAGTGGGGGCTCCGGTGTGAGCCATCTGTATGGACTGTAAATGAGTATAGTGTGTCATTATGGAACAGAAGGTGGGGAGGGGGGGATAAAAACCAGGGGAACATAATCAACGAAAGTATATACATTTCAGACCTTGGTAGATACAAGGCACAGGCGAGCTGTACGTGTGAGGGGGTTGAGGCAAAGATGGTATTAAGTAGAAGGCCTGAGCAGGCACAGAGGCTGCAGTGCCGCTACATCGTAGGCGGGTGATATAGTGTATATAATAGTACAACAACAACTATGGTGGCTATGGGGAAACATAATAATTGCCGCACTGCACTGCTAACGTGTGGCACACAGTGGGTAACAGAATATAGCTACATAAAAGGCCTATGGCATGAGCTTAATGCACTTTGTGGGGCAGGGGCCTCACTCAACGTGCATGTTTGTAGCGTTCTTAGATACTTGCGGACTAAATTCAAGCTTGGGACCAGTCCCTTTCCCTGTGTGTTCAGCTGGGCTCAGGTTCCATCTTTGTAGTAGCTGTAAACCCTCTTCTACCGACATGAGCACTGTGGTGGCGCCCAGCGATAAGGTATGCGATGCTCTCGGAGGGCCTCGGTAACTTTCTGGAACGCTTTCCTGTGATGTAATGTGGCCGCCGAAATGTCCTCAAAAACTCGCACTTTGGAGAATTCTGGCGGTAAGTCCTTTGCTGTACAGCTGCTGCGGAGGATCATCTCCTTCACATGAAAATAATGAGCTTTAAGTAGAGTGTTTGGGCTTCAGGACCCTGTGTAGTCGGTCCAGCATCAGCATATCGACCAGGATGTCTGGTAATAGAGCCTTGAAGAAGCTGTTTACAAAGGCAGGTAGGTCTGCTTCCAGCACCTCTTCCGGGATGCCTCGCAGTCGCAGATTGCTTCGGCGTGACCTATCTTCTAGGTCCATGAGCTTCACTTCATATTTGGCAAGTTGTGATTCAGGGTTTTGGATCCTGTCGACAGCTTGATTGTGGGCATCCACAATGTTATCCACTTTTGTCTCCATGTGCCCAGTTCGTGACCCCAGATCGTGTACGTCGCTCTTGATCTTGGCCACGCTTTCTTGCCAGGTGGCGATCAGCTTAGTTTATTGTTTGTCCAGGGATGCTTGTAGTAGTGAGGCAATGAGCCCCATTTCGGACTGTGTGTCCAGATCTGAGCGGGGGCTGCTCCCGCCGGAGTACCTGGTGCCATCTTGAAGGCCTGGTTCAATTTGTAAGGCTGGCGGCTTTTTTTTGGGCGAAAATGTTCATTTTGTCGCCTTTGTCAGTATGTCTCCGTGTCTTGGAGTGTGGCATGACGGCTTGTGTGGCTATCAGTCCCAGCTGTGTGCTGGATTTGTTCGGATTGTCTGGCTCGTGTTGCGGAGCTCAGAGCTCAAGCGGCCATCTTACTCCGCGGGCAGGACACGCCCCGCGTTCCAGCAATTTTAATGCCTTGATTATATTTATCTAGTTATAGGCTATAATTGTGAAATTTATATATATTATTTAGCAACGCTACCTATTGGTAAAACAAACTACACACAGGGAATAACTGCTGGATCTGAGTTAGGAACTCTTGCCTTTTTTCTTCCTACAAGGAATGGAATTTGGGTAATTCCATTAAAATTAGTTCAGTTGGGGTTAGAGTGGTCTACATCAGAGGCATGGGTGAACTTTGATAAGAAGTGTGAGGAGCAAAATGCTATGTTACATCACATGACAGGTGCATAGTCGCCATATGGGCAGGCGGATTCAGGACAAAACCCCCCCACATAGCTATCCCAATAAAACACGGACACTAGGGTATATGGGTC